ATAAAAAAACTCATTTTCCAATCACAGGTATGCGTACTAATCTCGACCTAGATAAGCCTCATCCCCAAATACCTGCTGAACCCTTTAAAACCACCCCTACCAACACCTAAGCAGGCACACCCACATGACCCTGGGTAGAGCAAGATTAATCAACTGCTTTTTGGTAAAAAAAACTCATTCTCGGGGGTTTTGGAAACCTTTCAAGTTACTATTTTTCGAGCGAAATATTGATTTCAAAAAAATATCCTCCACCATTTTGAATTCGCTATCTGGCGTTCGCCATCTTGGATTTGAAAAAACGAAATTTTGGTAGTATATTCGAACTCAGCGACCTCGAAAACCCCCGAGTACTAATTTCCAACCAAAAATATGCTAATTCTATGATTTTCATCCACCATCTTAAATCTGCCATCTTGGATTTTCAAAAATGAAAATTCTGACTGTAGATTCGTATTCAGCGACCTCGAAAACCCCCGAGTAAGAAATTTTAAGCCAGAATAGTCAATAGAAAAATGTATGCCGAAAAGGGTTAAAAGCCACCCCTATCTACCCCTTGCAGGCTTATATACGTAACCCTAGTTACACCAAGTTTAATTAAATCCTTTTTGATGAAAAAATTAATTTTTTAATCACAAATAGACATACACATCTTAACCTGGATATGCCTTATCCCTGTATACATGTACAACCCATAAAAACCCTTGGGCAGGCTAATCATAGAACCCTGGGTAAGCTATTTTAATCATGTGAAATTCGATGAAGGAATTAATCACAGATAGACATACGCAGCTTATTTTGGTACAAGAAAAACAAGGTGTGTAATTATTTACAGGGATAACTCCTAAGATCAGAAATTTAATAAAATAAAATCATCAAATATCAGGAGTGAAAACATAAGAATTTTTTATATACGCAGCTTATTTTTTGTACGCGGTTGGGAGGGCTGGTTTTAAAGGGTTGAGGAGGTATTTGGGGATGAGGCCTATCTAGATCATATTAGTACGCATACCTGTGATTAGAAAATGAGTTTTTTTATCAAAAAGCAGTTAATTAAACTTGCTCTACCCAGGATTATGTGGGTGAGCCTGTTTAGGGGTTGGCAGGGGTGGTTTCTACCCGTAAGAGAGCATTTTGTAAATAGAAGCACGATGCTCACAATATTTTTTAGTGTTTTGTCATATTTCCAAGTTTGGTTTAAATTGGTGAGTGGCTCTTTAATATGGTTACTTGTTAGATAGCTTGGGCTGAATGGTGTGGTGCTTTTTAAATTCATAAAATTTGAAATTTTCAAATTTGTGTAACTTCGAGAAAAAAAGAGATATCCGAGCATACTCAACGGCATTTGAAAGAAGAAAACTCATACTTTAATTTGATGTATACAGTTTTTTGAAAAAAAATTTCTTTTCTTTGCTACATAACCTCGAATATAGGCAAAAATCGCGTTTTTTGCACTTTAAGGTTAGGATATCTCGAAAACCGGAGCCACCAGAGTAATTCTGACCTCGGATTCGGATTCAGCGCGCAAAAAACCTTCGGAAAACTATACTCGGGTTCTTGGTAAAATATTTTTGTCAAATTCTGTCGGCCTGTGTAATTATTAACAACCCGATAATCCCGTACATATATACTAAACTAATAAAAATAGACATTATTAATATTGATTGTCTGGAATGTTACAAAAGTAATGGATTTTCACACATGTATAAAATAAATAGAAAGAAATAGTTTCTATATTTTCAGGTTTCAAAGTATATTAATATACTAAATGAATCTTATTGATAGAAATAATTGTATGCCCAACTTCAAAACTTTTTTAATTTCGATATGATAATTAATTGAAATACATATGTTCACAACAAATATTGTAGAAATATTGTTTTAAATCAGTTTTACTTAAAATGAACAGGAATAATTTTTCGAACTCAAGAAGAAATTGGAAAAAGACGAGTTAGATAAAATTATACCCGTTAAGTTAGTTGCTACTCAAGCAGAAATATTACGCGCTTTTAAACATTACTGTACCCACTTCAGTTTACCAACTGTTGGATTCGAATTTTTGTGTAAAATGTTGAATAGCTTCATGGGTGTTCCTATACTACCTGATACTCATTATAACATCGATAAATTATCAAGATCCGACGATAGCAGAGAATTCCATGCGGTTTGTCCCAAATGCGAAATATATCTTAGGCCTTTTAACAGTACTGAACAGACTGTACATTGTGATCAATGTCAAACTAGCATATCTGTGAAGGGAAATAATGTTGGCTTTATGGCCCATTCAAATAATTTTAAATGAACTCACTCCTAATGCACGCTCAAGTGATACTATAACTGCAGCTTTATGGTTTGGGAAAAAGCCAAACATGAATATTTTTGCCAAAACTTTTGCTAAAAATATTAATGTTTTGAATGTACAAGGGATACCCTGTAAAATTGCTAGTAATTCAAAAAAAATAAAGTTATATCCAATATGTTTATGAGCAGATGCGGTAGCGCGTGCGCCATTACAGGGTTCAATTTAACGGATACTTTGGATGTGCTTGGTGTTATCACCCTGGCATTCCAGTTAAAAAGAAAAAAAAGAAAGTGGTGAAATACCCTCTAATTGATTATGTACCAGATAAGCGTTCGCTTCCGGATACATTGAAGCTCATGGAAAATCTTTCCGAAATAAAAACACGATCTAAAGAAATGCGTGGAGTAATATCAGTGTCTCCTTTAATTCATTTATTATACTACGACATCATCAATGGGTTTGTCGTCAATGACTTGCATTGCGTTTTTTTAGGAAATGAACGAAAATTTGGACATTCGTGGTGGGACGAGTCTGGCGTACCTCATTCATTAAAAAATAAAATAAAAAAGATAGATGATATTTTATTAAAAATTCAAACTGCCAATCAGATAAGCCGTATACACGTATGCTAAGAAAGCGAAAAAACTAGAAAGCAAAAGAATGGGAAAATTGGCTATCTTCATTCTACCTATTCTAAGATGTATACCTGGTTTTGAAAAATATGAGCAACACTGGCAATTGTTGGTTGAAGCCATACACATTTTGAAGTAAACGCGGATAAGTACAGATGACCTTACTTGGACTAGTAAATACTTGAAAGAATTCGTTGCAGACACTGAAAAACTTTATGGACAAAGCGCTATAACGTAGAATGTACATCAGCTATTGCATTTGGCTGAAAGCGTGCTCAATTGGGGACCCATTCCATTTCATAGTGGATACCCATTTGAATCCGGTAATGGAAAAATTCTAAAAATGATCAAATCTACAAAATAAGTGCTACATCAGATTTTCCGTAAAATAGAATACGAAAATAGTTGAATAATATAGGAAGAGTATATTTCCAAAAATGAAAATTCACCGGTTACAAAATTTCTTTCCCGCTTAAAAAATATATGTACCTAAAATCTATTAAAATTGGAGAAAATAGATACATTGGAAAGTCATTCCATACTCAAGCAAAATGGGTTAAATAACGCAATCTGAACGAAAATGTCACAAAATTATATGAAAGACTGTTGAAAAATGACTGTATTTTTGCTTCATGCAAAAACGAAGAATTGAGACTGAAGAATTGAACTAAAACTGGTGTATTTCTGAAAGTTCATGAACTTCATAAACTTTTATAGTTCATTCACTTTTTATAGTCGACATAAGGTCCGAAATCGAATATACGCTATGTAACTATATTAAAGCTGAAAATGTGTTAGACAATTGTAATAAAATTAAAAAAATTGTAGAGATTGACAAAGAGCTTATTGATATTAATACGACAGTCATTAAGAAAATTGCAATGTGTATTATAACACCGTTAGATGATTATATTTCCGCGGTGCCAAATATGCTGCATTATTGAAGACGCTCTTTTCTAACACTCAAGTTAAAAAGTTTATTTTCCTAAAAATCTTCTGTTAATAATTGTTATAATGATAAATTGTAAATATATTCACAATTCACACTAATAATATATATTCATTTTCACTTAAGAAAGTATTGAATATATTGTATAAAACCTGAATAATTAACCTGTACTGTTTACAATTAACTATTAAAAAAAAATTATGTCTTATCATGTTACTTTTGGATTCAATTAATTTTGGATAATACTGCACACATTTTGTACCTAATATATATATATATATAATATGTATAAAATATATACAGAATAAGTACATATTTTGTACATATTATATACATATTTTGCTCATATTTTACACGAATACATGTACAAATTATGTACGAAATGTGTACGATTATTTCAGGTGGGAAAGTAGCTGTTGACGACATAATCTTCGCAGCTTGTCGTATTTGTGACTCAACTTTCCAACACACAACAATATTTCCACCCTATAAAGTTACCTGTGCTATCAGTCTCACTTATCCTGCAAGACTTAGAAACACAGAAAAAATTATTTTCGCAAGAAACACGAATGCAATTGTGGGATATATTACAATTGCAAGATCAATGCTTATCAGATACTGGTAAAGAAGAAATTTTTCAACATAGTAATACTTACCTGCCTACGTAATCTAGTGATGCTATACTACTGGATCATGAGCAGGCATCACATTATTAGTTATAGTTAGTTATATTTAGTTTTATTTATAAACCAGATCACCGAATAGGAATTTATTGTATCGGATAGCTTACATGTTAGATGAAATGTATGTGTACACGAATTGCGGTTGTCTCATTTAAGCATAAATACTATATAGTAATAATAATAATAAATAAATAAGTAAATAAAGTAACCTACAAATTTTTATTGCAGTCTGCATTTCTATAGGTAAAATAGCATATATAAAGTTGACGCAGTTATGGGACGAATTATTTTCGCACATGTAGTGCTTTATTTGAATGCAAATTGCATATGGTTGCAAAATTAATATCGTACACTAAGATATTAATGTTCTTTAATACAAAAATATTATTTTCAATATTATAATTTCATTTAACTTATTTTTTAAATTATGTACTTACTTCTATACTGTGAACATGTAATGTGTCAAATACTTCTGTTCTATAAACATGGTTTCGCAATTTTATTGGTTTCTTTTTAAGTGTACATGTTTCGTTTTCTTTCATTTTGAAAAAGGTGACAAAAATGTAGTATTAGAAGTTAATGCTAATAATTTCGATGTATGCAGCTAATATAAATTGAAAGTGAATATTAGGGTATTGATTATAAACAATAGTAGAAAATCCACTTCATACTTTAGTTCAAAAAGATTATAATAATACAAGAGATGACAATAAAACTAGTAAGACAGTCTCACATCGATCAATTGTAAACCAAGATTAATTTCGAACACTGTCCTCATTCGCTCATTTTCAGAACACATTATACTAAATTAGACCAAATTTTTTGTTTGTTAAATTTTAATCAAAAATCTTTAATATGTAAACTTACCTTGATTAATATTTTATATTCCAGATGACTAGTTAATCAATAAATTTAAAAATTTTATAATTATACATTTTTTTAAATAAATGTGTAGGATATCTTAAAGTATACATGATAAAGAAGAATGAAACAGATAAATATACTGCCAGTCACATACTTCTACAATTTCGTCTCCAGAGAAAAATCGGTAAAATTATTAAGCTTACAATATTTTACAAAATTCAATTTTTGACAAAGAAAAATTCAAGCGACAGAATATTTTCTTCCCAGAGCTACTCAACGGTATATCAAACAAGAATTTAATGTTGAAATTTCTAAAATTCCATGTCTATCATGGTCCGTCTTTGATTTCAAGAAATCGGACAAACATTTGAAGAATAGTATATAATACTTCTTTCCAAATATGCCTTATTTAAATCATTAATTGAAACATTTGTTCACAACAACGATCATTGTTTTCACTAAATAATACTTCTTTTCGAATTTTCATATTTTAATAAATTTAAATGATCGAAATCAATTTTTGGAAATAAATATTCAATTTCTTTATGCTAAAATTAAAAACAATTTTTGTTGGAACAATAAATTTTAACTTTTTTCACTTTGATCCGATCGTTTGTGCAACGCAATGTCCACAGTCTCCAGTTTCGAAAATTTTCTTAATTCCCATCTTCACTATCATATTTATGTTCCATTGTACGTTTGCTGCTTTGGCCATTTTCGTCGCCGTCTCTTGTATGAGCCATAGCAGTTCAGTCAAGCCTCGTGTGTTGTTTCTTGTTATGAGTGTTCGTCCTGTCGTCTGTTCTTGACTGTCAGCGGCAGAGGCGTAGCTCACCCCACTGCCGCCGATTATTATTATTCTTATGATTATTGTAATATTATTATTATTATTATTATTAATTATTTATACCATTTACTAGTACTTTCAAAATCTTTTAAGACGAATTGATTTTAATATCAAATCGGAAAAATATAAGCAACATTTTTTTTAACAGCTTTCTCCAGTTACAATTCGTTTTTATTAGTCGATAAAGATTATATTAGTGTTCAATAATGATTAATATAATCATAGATTACTCTAAATAACTGTTGATAACCTTACTAAAATATTTTTCTTTATAAGTAACATTTGTCAATAAATATATTTGTTCAATAAATTTTTAATAATTCTTCAGTTAAGTTCAAGCTTAAAAATTCCAGCATTAGTTTCAACGATGAATAGAATTATTTTAAATATATATTTCCATCATTAATCACACAGGCCAAGAAAATCTAGACACGTGAATAGGTGTATCAGAAGGCTTTTGATGGGCTGAATCCAAATCCGGAGTCAGAATTCGTCCATAACCTCTGGTTCTCAAGATATCCAAACCTAAAAGTAACAAAAACACTATTTCTGGCTAAAATTGAAGGTTACATAATATTTTGGATACATTTTTTTTCTCCAAGCCGGAAAGACTACCTTAAAATGTAATTCTGACACTTTAGAACACTTTTTTCAGATCTCAAAAATCATTTTTTTTTTAATGTCATTATTTCAATTAAAATACCAGTATTTGAAGTTTAGTATTTTAGTAATTTCGAGAGACTTTAAATGCCAGGAATTCTTACTCCACCTTTTTTGAATCTGAAAAAACTGAACCTGCAAGCAAGTGATCCATATATATTCCACTGGCAGTAACATTGAACCCTCACAACCAGATTTCCTTTACCTAAATGCCCTGTAATTTGTATGGCAATAACCCTCGACCCGTACAATCTAATTTCCTTTATTCACGAGCTTCATAACCTCCATGTCAATAACGCTGGATCCTCAAAGCCCAATTTCGTTAACCCACAGATCCTGTAACCTGCACAGTAACAACCTTTGACCCTCACAACTCAATTTTCTCGAAATAATTACAGAACTTTAAACAATGATATCTCAATAAAAAAAAAGATTTTTTAGATCTGGAAAAAGGATTTCAAAGGAAAAAAGTTACACTTTAAGGTGGTATTGCGGTTTGGAAAAAAAAATTTATTCAAGGTGTGATGTAATCTCTAAATTATCCAAAAACACTGTTTTTGGCACTTTTAGGTTCGGATATCTTGAGAACCAGAGGTGATGGACAAATTCGAACTCCCGATTTGTATTCAGCGCACCAAAAGCCTTCGGATGCACCTAGTCACGTGTCTAGATTTTTCCAATTTGTAATGTTGTTGCTTTGTGTTACGTATGTCATCATAACTATCTTTAGATGAAAGAATCTCGAATAAATTGTTGTATGACTTGAATCGTATATTACAACTCAAAGCCAGGAAGTTGGATTTCCCGGATTACGTGGTTTGACACTCGAGGCGAAGCCGAGAGCTTTGGTGAACGCCGTCCAGGGTATCCAACTTTCTGCCCATGGGTCGTATACTATTTTTCTTGGTCCCATCGAAAGTATATTAAATAATTATATGTATTTAAATGAAAAATCGCGTTGTTGGCTGCTGCTAGCTCGTGTTTCGTTATATATCACAATTGGATTTTTGTGGTCTGCGTCAGTGCACCCTCCTGGTTAACTCGCATACTACTCGACTTTGCGGCCGTGAATACTCGGTCAGCTGATTCTACGTTTTTGAATGCCCACCTACTTTTGCAAAACCTAGGTAAAGCCGAGGTTTTGCTGGTCGGGGCGGACATTCGAAAATACACCAAAGAAGTATAAAATATGACAATATCAAATTTTTAAAAAAGTAATAATATGTGATAATATCAAACATTTATGTATTATTTTTTTTTTTACATTTGCAAATAGTAATATTAAAAATACATTTGTTAAGTGTACATTCATCAAATTTCAAATTTTGATTAAAATTAGAATTAATATTATTCTAATTTCCGTCTTGCTGTTCTGTTTCTTCAGATGTTTTTCTTTTTTTATCTGAAGGTCATTGCGAAGTCACTTTTTAATTAAAAATTATCATTACTGGTGGCTTTGTAAAAAATAACTTATTTCCTCTTGAAACTAAAAGTTTTTTTTTTATTTTCATCATGTATAACTATTTTTTTTGAGTTGGCAAAGACAATTTTTGGATCTAAAAATAATGTAATTTATAAATAAAAATTAGTAGTTTAATTATGTACTCTTATTAGCATAATTAAAATTTGTAAGCACACCTGAAGTTGACTGAAAATCGTTCTCAATGAATGATCAGAAAAATCTGACTAATTTAATTAGAAGTTGCGACGGTAGTCGATTTGATTAATCGATCCGTTCGCGATTTGGTACACTCACGATGCTAGAGCGAACGACTAACAAGGCAACCACCCCAACCCGACCTCACCGATTTACATGATTTTGGGATATGTTGTAGTACTTGAAAAAAAATTAGATACGTGTTTTTTTTTATAGGCCCATAAGGGTTTGTAAGGGGTCAAATCCACCCTGAAATTCAACCCTTAAAATCAGTTTTTTTAATATTTCTCAGTATCAAATGAATATTTTTCAGTAAACTCAAAGTTAAAAAATTTCTTATAAAAAGGCGCTTTTAGGAACATAACATTTATACCGAAGGGTTGCAAACCCTTTTTAATAGGGGTAAATACACTATTTTTTGTACTGTTTTACGACATGTAATATAGTAAATCAGCTCGAGTGATTGAAAAATCGCACAGATAATGAGAAAATACCAAAATTAAATTGACGTGTTTCCGGATTTAAAAAAAAAATGTTTAAGGGGTGTTTCACCCCCTAGAAACCACCCCCGTCAAACTATCAGCAGGTTAATCCACCTAACCCTGGGATAAACAAGTTTAGTCGTTTGTTATTTCTTGAAATAATTGAATTTTACACCATAAGCGAGTTATCCCAGCTGAATCACATACCTTTTATCCACCTGCCCCTAACCTATCTAACCCCCCACCCTTATAAACCATCCTTACCGAACCACATGCGAACTAACCTTATATAAATAGCGAAAAATAAATGTATTTCTTGAATAACATTCATGTTGCATAACAATATGTCCCAAGTATTACTAATTTTATGTAATAATTATTATTTTCTTTTCATTATAAATACAAAAAAGATAAAAATAATTAATAACAGCTTATAAATTTAAAATTTGAGATTGAAATACATTATAAATAATTATTAACTATTTTGTTTTTTCGAAATTAATAATAACAGTTATATTATCAGTATTTTTAAAAATATTATTTGGATTGTATTACATATAGCTGTGTATAAAAGAGTAATAATAATAGTTATTATTTTTTAAATGTAAAGCTAATTTGTAATAAAGAAAAATAACAAGTAATAACAGTTAAAAATTATTAATTTCAAAAGTGGAAGTTTAATATAGTTGTTATTTCTTTTTTAATCATTTACAATTTGTCAATGAGAAAAGAAATTATAACAAATAATTGATTATATTAATAGTTATAAATAGTTATTATACTCTCAATTACTATACTTAAAAACTGTTTATTTTTTTTAATTTTTACTTGCGGTTTGGTTTACTTTTTGTTGGTAATTTACTTTATTGTACACTTTATCTTATTTACAATTTTGTCTTATCAATGGCTCGAAGAAGATAAGTTATATCAAATATACGCCCCTTACGATAATAAGACATCCGATACATATTTCATTATTCATAGCAGTTGAAGAAAAGTCAAGTATTTAAAAAGTTAAAGTTTTTTTATAGTGCTGGTTTTATAAATAAACTTATTTCTATATTTACATACAAATTTCCCGAACACGAAAATATAGTACATAACAAGAAGAAAAGTTTTTGTCTACTACGTAAGTATTTATGTCACTTATCATATATAATTTTATTCAAATATTTTAATTTGTAAACATGTGAAATATAACTGTTAAAAACGTATGA